GCATAGTTCATCGCATATGTCTTCGTACATTTTGGGGTGAAAAACTTAGCTTTTTATTGGGTGGTGTGAAAAATTTAGTATGACTTCAGAACGGGGTGAAAATAACTATTTCCTCTTTTTAATTTTGTGTAGTATTTGGTTATTTTTTAAACCGACACCAACATCAAACTTAATTATATATTATTAACTGCACTTAGCGGATTCTCCAGCCAAACTTAACCGCAATAAATATTACTTTAATTATTAAATAGCGTAATTGTGATTAAAATTTTGTGAGATCGTAAAGTTGAAATTATTTAGGGGATGGAATGTAAAGAGTGTAAATTTCTCATAAATCTATGAGAGGGACCGAGCTATTAATATCAAACTGGTCTTACATCTGCCCATGTAAAACATTACATAACTATGGATATAGGGGCTTATACAGCCCAATAAGGCCAAGAAAACGATCCCTAAGCAGAGAATTTGGTATGGAGTGTTGATTTGGAAAATATAAAATACAAAAGTCCTTTAAAAATCCTTATATATATCACATTCTGCTTTTTGCCTTTCAACAACTCATCAGATTTGGTGACATAATCAAGCAGAACTTATTCACTAAAATCTACCCACTTATGAATTATGTCAGTTTTAATCAACATGAAACTAACCAAAACCATGATATTCAAGCTGATGGTGCCATCAACGCAACCCGCTAAATGCTTTGGGGAAGTTCTCACTTCTTATTCATGCTTCTAACGTACTTAACTTTCCGCAACAATCCATACCTCCGACCCCTGCGGTTTTCAACATTTGCGGTCTTTCGGTAATCTTTGCTGTCGATCAAAAGGTTGGCATGTGACGTTGCACATTGTCGACCGTCATTCCCTCGCTCCAAAAAGCTCGAACTTCCCGGTTACCATATCTTTTCTAACACGTCGTTCTCTGCCAAATATCCGTACTTTTTGCGAGTGGACTCCTTTTCAGTCGGAAAATCCCCAGTAAAAATTCTCTGTCGCGCTTCCAGTGCCTTTTGGAAAGAGAAAATAAAAAATGAAAATCCAGTGCGTAAAAATACAATGAGCCTGAAATTTTCGAAAAACATCCAAGTTTGTGTCCACTTTTGGTTTTTCGAAAAAATTACAATCAGCACAAAGTAGTGCATCAACCTGTTTTTCCCAGTCCGTGAGCCCGGTTACAACAGAAAGCATGATGGATTGTACAGTTGCGCCCGCCAAAAGACCACTCCAAAGGCCTTGGCCTTTCATGTGCAAAACAAATGCTAGCAGCAAAGCCACTGGTGTACCGACGAGATAATAAGCCCCTAAGTTCACATAAGCCCCAATATGTTGCCACCCGCTACCTCTGGCAACTCCTGGGAGAAAATTATACCAAATTTAGGAGTACATAGGCGCAGAATTTTTGCATTTTGTTGGCAAGTAAAAAAAAAAACGAACAGGATTGATACCCGAAAGTGTTGCCTGTAGGCCGTCCATGATGATCGAGAGGCCAAGAAAAGGGGCCATTTTGTGGACATAGTCGACAATTTCTTCTTCTTTGCTAAATGCATACCCCAGTATTTGGCCGCAAGTTATAATGGCAATGCTGGCTGCAAGGAACTCGAAAATCGAAAGGATTAACACTGCAAGGAGAGTTAATCGTGCTGATTCTGGTCTTCCTGCTCCCAGCTCGTTCGAGATCAAAGTGCTGGCAACACGATAAAGATTGTTCCAATGTTTTAGCGTGTGTGATGGTATAAAGACCCAACATTCAAGGTTGATATTTTTTGGACACGGCAAAAGGTAACGAGCATTAGCTTATGAACAAGAACAGACCTTGCAGCTGCACCAAATGAGTATGGTACGTGATAGTGCAAATAGGAAATCGTGAAGCTGCAGATCGGAAATAGACGTTATTCGAAGGCATAATTATGGAAAAATAAAATACGAATAAAACATCCTAGATGTTCAAACTAATTAAATAATAAAAAAGGATTTTTCAAAATCATAAATTTTCAACAACATGAAAATCATTTAAGGCCGACCATATAGAAAGAACTGATGTCTCTATCTGTGGATTTGGCAACAAACCGGACAGCAACAGAATCAGCTCGAAGGACCACCACTCGAGGCTGCATAAGTTTTTATTCATCCAAACACGTCACAACAAGAAAAAACACCGCAAACAACACCAAATCACTTGCAACAAAAATGCGGCTAAAGAAAAAAATGAGATAACTTACCAAACCATAGCAGCAGAGGGTATAGCGAGCCCAGAAAACTCCTTAAGAGAAACCATAACATCCTTCGAGAACGAAACAAACGTCTTATTACATACTGGAGAATACTTCACATACAACACTAACAAGACAACGTTAAACCAATATGATAACCCCACAGACAATGCAGCCCCCGTGTTTCCGAAGCCCAACTTGAAAACGAAAGCCCAACACAAGGGAAGCTGAAGGCCCAGAGCCGCTAATGAGCTCCAAACCATAGGGAATATCAAACTCTGAGCCTGCAAGTAACGAACAAGACACTGAAGGATCGCGTAAGGGAACAACGTGGGAATAAGTTGGATTGCGAATTTTCCTGCTTGTGCCGATATTAAAGGGTCTTGGCCCGTCATGAGCAACAACTTTTCGGTTAAGGTGAACAGCACGGACAACGGTATGCATACTAGAACGAGACATAAAATAGCTCCGTAAGTTAAACTCCCCACTTTCTTGTATTGCTCGGCTCCATAAGCCTGCCCGCAAAGAGTTTCAAGAGCACTAGCCATCCCAGACTGCATAGCAGAACAGACATTCCTCCAGATTAGGAAAATAAATTTCATGAAATTCTCCCAATTACGCAAGAATTAACTGTATCTAATACAGTAAGATAAATGTACACACTCTTGACATGAGACTTAAGAGGCAAAAATATGTAGAAAGTTGAATAAATTAAGAAGAATCTAGTGAATAAAACAGGTATTGAATTGAAATCATCCTTGTCGTCCCCTGTCTTAAATTTTGATCGAAATACGAGGAATCAAAATCTCACAATTCCGAACACTAAATAAACACATTTTCTCAGCTAGAAGCTAATAATTACTCCATATACCATATACAACGATGATCAAACCACCATATACAACGATGATCAAAGCTAAACGAATTACAGAAAAAAAAAAAAAA